AAAAAGTGCTGCGCACAGCTGGGACAGGAGCGCTTGTTTCAGGCATATTAAAGTTGACCAACACTCATAGTTGGCACAGTCAGTCTGTTTCATAATTGTATGTTTTTAGTGAGCATGTTTGCGAATCTTTCGTCAAGTTGGTAAATAATTTTCCTTATTTGCATGTGTTTTGGCATATTTGTGTTTTATATTAAAGTAAAAAGTGTAATCTATATGTTTAACAGGACTCAAACACCTGTTTTATGATTGAAAGTCCCATGTTTGTAACATCCACTCATACATCGCGGAGTACAATTAGAAGCTTATTAGTGATAAATCATAAACAAACGTAACCTGGAATAGAATAAGATTACCCTAAAACTTGAGTGACAATGTCATTTTGTTAATGATAAGGATGTTTGTACGAGACTATACCGGTTTCCATCTGTCTTTTTCCTATGACTGTGTTTCCCTCAGCTGGTTTGTTTACTTCCTGCATTTGCTCTGTCTTTGTTGTTTCTACACTTATCACAACCTCTTCTTCTCTGACTTTCAGCGTTCTCCTTTGCTGCTCCACAGTGCAGATCGGAGGGAGACTGGCGACCCGTGCTGCACCAATAGAAGCAGCTGAGGTAAACATCTTGCCCCCACGGACAGAACTGTGTTTAAATGTTTGAGGAGACCCGACTAGAGTTTAGTCAAACACATCCCTCTACCCTCAACAGCCCTTGTTTAAATATATAAGTGTTGCAGCCAATTCCGAAGTCACCGAGGCCTGAACAAATAAATTGAGGTGGAGAACACAAAATGTGGGATAGATAAAACAAATGAACAAGCCCTCGTAGTCCAAATATATATGCAACACCCAGTCTGCTTTTCAACTCTTTCAGCTGACACGTTAGCAGAATTTCTCTGAGGACAGAAAGGATGATGTTACTTATCAGTACAGGGTTGTTGGACTCGCAGGACAGAATAATTGTGATTCCCTTTACTGTACTACAATTATAGCAAGTGATTTGAAAAAACAAAGTGAGAACTTGCTTGTACATTCCCCATTCAGTTCTCATCTGTATTACAGATGGAGAAGTTGCAATATAATGACATACACACATATACACCCATATTGTCAAGACATACCTTCTTCAGATCAGGAATTACAAGGGTTTTAAAGGGGTCATATTATGCTCATTTTCTGGTTTTATATTAATATTTTGCTCCTCTACTGTGACATGTTTCCATGCTTTAATGTTCAAAAAGCTCTTTATTTTTCTCATACTGCCTGTGCCGCAGCACCTCTTTTCACCCTCTGTCTGAAACCAGAGCCCAGTCTGCTCTGATTGGTTAGCTGGCCGGCTTAGCTTACCCCTTAGCCTATCACATACAATGTGTTGGAGCGATAGCCAATAGAAATGCGAGTGTTAAGTAGTAAGTTAACAAAGGACTACAATGGAGGCGGTACAGGGAGAGAAACTCCCTCTGGAGGGAACTTTGGGAATTCACCCTTTGCAGACCATTTAGCAGGCAAATAATAGGGCCCCTTTAAAGTTATCAACCCAACAGTGGCCATTTCTGCTTCCTGTAACAAACTCCTTTGTTTCTTCTTCTAAGACTCTTAGTATCCGGACCAACTTAAAGAAACAGCAACAGCACAGCAAAAAACTTTGCCAAAATGTAAATATTCTAATATAACTTAAAAGGGCACAACATAATCTTTAACTTAGTCCAAATGTCTGAAACCAGTAAAAACATGCAGGATGTATAGGAGCAGATTTGGGGAGAGAAAAAAAGACAACAGCAGTATTTTTCCACACTCTGCATGCTGTCATGCATGAATCCCCGGCTCCAGCCATATGTTTAAGATTAGATGTACTTTTTTGTTAGACGAGAACACAGTCAACAACGTTCTGCTGCTTCCCCGCTGGTCATGAATCAACTGGGCTCTGTCCACACCCTCTCTCTGTGCTCCTAAATTCTATTAAACAGATGATTAAAGCCATCACACCAGTGAGGAATAACACAACACTCATAGTTTCAAGGAGTCCAAGGATCATATTCTTCTTAATGTTATATGACACACTGTACAGTATGTGTGTTCATTTATGGCGATGAGGTCAAATTGAAGGCTCATATGTTATGAAAATGTTTTTCTCTATATATTTATACTAACCTCTTCCTCTAAAACAGCACAATGCTAGCTTCAAAACAATATGCAATGTGGTTTTCATTTGGATTGAAGCCTCTATGAAAAGCAATTACACATTTATAAAGTTATACTGAATCCTCCAACTTTTGTATTGCAAGCTGACAGCAATTTAATATGTCAATCAATATTGTCATATTACTAAGACTTTATAGAGGGTGTGCATTTTGTCACCGTGACGTCAACCATTTTTGGTTTTCCGAGCCAGAAGTTACATTATTAGAGGGTGGAGACATTTTAAAAGAGAACATATTATGCTGATTTTCAGGTTCATATTCGTATGTTGTGCCTCTACTGTGAGCCATTAGAAGCGGAAGAGTTACAAAGTGTTCTCATTATGTTAAGAAAGTAAACAAAGACTAAAATGGATGCGTTTCAGGCAGGAGAGAAAGTCCCTCTGGAGGGAACACTGGGATTATAGCTTTTGCAGACCATTTACATGCACAAAAACCTATACAACACCAACACTTCAAGGAAGGGAAACCCCCAAAAAGCCAAATAGGGCCTCTTTAAGGTTAACGAAATGTTACAATTACATGAAAACTGAACTGAACACTGTGGAACTGAAAACACTAAGACGAAAACACTGAGAATACCCTGACTGGTCAATACTGTGGTAGCAACCTGTCGTTTAATTTATTATATATAGGATCACCATTTACAAAAATGGATATCATGTTGCGTTCAACAACACCTGAATCTAGCAATTGAGACCATTAACTTTTTAGGAAAATGCTTACCTATTTAATCAATCTAGAGAAAGTAGGGTCATTTTCTCATAGATTTCTATGCAATCAGACTTGCACCCAGTGAACCAGTGCTGGCCATCAGAAAGAATGCAGGTTAAATAATCTTACGTCTTTTTAGAGTTGATGTCTAACATGTTAGCAAACAATTGCAACATTAGCATCCATTTGACACCATCGTCTGTCCACATGAAAAATGACATGTAATTTGTAATATGTATGCGTGTTATAGCTCCTTTTTTGTCAACAAGTACAACAAAAACATATCTTTCTCTAGTATGCTAAATGATCTACTACGTCTACTAGCTAGTTGCTAACTAAGTCTGTGTGCTGAAGAGTGCTGGGCAGGTATTTCAGTCAGGTTTATCAGAACCTTTTTTCTGCTGTAACCAACTAAAATATGTATGTGTTGAGTAGATAGTGGTATTTATCTGTGGCAACAACCCCTTTTTCATAGCATGTAATGACTTAATCCAAAGTTTAAACATAATTTTTGATCAGTGCACACTACAAACATTGATTCCCTTCTCTTCCTGCGCAGCCACATTCCCAGCTCATTAAATATTGACATTTGTACAGCACCCGATGGTATCTGTGTGATAAGGTTCAGACTTTAGACCAAATCCAACGTACAAATCAACAACAATAAGACGGACTGGCCAGAAGTTCGGTGACAAAGACCACGTAGGGAGAATAAGACAGTAAAGATGGACAAATGGGTCAAACAAACACGGTACTCTCACCTTGAGACCAATTGTTGTGTCCCGTATGAAAGCAAAGGGTTTCCTAATATGTGTAAACAAACTGACCTGCCAGCTGAAGATTCACAGGGTTATGTGTAAGATTTGATATCATTGTTGAAATAAAAATGGAAGATTTTCTTTCTTTTTTCTGAATTTCTTTTTGCATTTTTGAACATATCATTATTAGAATCAGTTCAAAATAAATGAATCAAAGCTCGATATGTTCCATTAAGGACGCAATGGTTGTATAAATATACATTTTATAAGTTGTATGCATTTTATATAAACTATCTGATCCTTACAAGTCTAATATTACTAATAGTCAGAAATTTGGATTGATGCCATATGTTCATAATCCTTTTTTTCGGTCTCAAATAAAAAAACACTACTTCGAAAATGTTTTTTAGTTGCTTTCAAAATACTTAATCAGGGGACCACCGTGTGAAAAGCATAGGTTTCTGTGAGTAGATCAACAGTATGCAGTTCAGGTAAAGCTAACCTCCTGCCGCGTAGAGGTAAATAAAGCCAACTAAATAAAACAACATGACAGACTTAGTGTGATCATTATGGAAAAAGCAGTTAGCTCCAACCCAGATAATGACCCACTTAACACAGAAAGTTTACTAATTAAAAGAGCAGAGATAAATGATAATGTTGTTAGCTAAATAGGGTCAACTGATTGGCTGTTTAGCTGTTGTGGTAACTTCTTGGCTGTAAGAAAATTATGAGCAAAGAAGTCTGATGTTGTTTTTCTGTAATAATGGGCATTATTTTCACTTTTATGTGTTCCTCCTACAGAGAAAATAGGCCTGATCTCTCCCTTTGTGGTTGCTCCAACTGCTCACTTCCACCACCCACTCAGTACATTTTCCCAGGCAACAATGTTCCTCCAAAGTTTACACACAATAAATAACGATATGCCCAAAGCAGTTAGCAATGGCCCCGCTCTCCGTTTCCTGGCTGGAGTTGAAATGAAATGGTAATTTTGACTTGAGGAGGATTTCAAAGGGATGGCCTCTACTTTTCATCTGGGTGCATACCACGAGCTCGCCGACACATTCACGCTGGGATTTGAGCAAGAAAAAAAAGGAGAGGAGAGAGAGAAAAAAGAGCAGAATTTTAAGTTTTTCTATGAACTTCCTTCTTTCTTTTTTCTGCCATCTCTCCACAGAACACGAGATGTAACGTTGCTGAGTTCTCTCCCCCAGATGGACATCATTTATATAAACAACCATCCCCGGTTCAGGGAGCATTTGATTGATGTGTCATTGTCTAAAGATTGTTTCCAGGCATTTGAATAGATAATTCAGAACTTTTGATGTAGACATTTCTCTTCAAAGGTCAGTTGTGGGGGAAGAGCAGGGGTGTCCTCTATCTCCCATGCTATTTTTGCATCCAAGGCTCCAACTAGCCCGACGGCTTTTCACAGGGGAGATTGACTGACGCTTGAATCGTCCTTCATGCTCAAGATTACAAGGTGGTTTCACAAAACCCCATCTGAGATCTGCCGGCTATCTCTATTATGCAAAGTACCTTTGTCTCAAACAAAATAACCTAACACCGCATTGATGTGTCCTGTGCCTATTTGTTTTCTAGGTCGGCCTACGGTCTTGCAGTGAGATTGGACCGAGACCAAGGATGCAGCGGAAGGATTGGCCAGGAACTCCATTATCTCAGCAGCAAGGAATGAGAAATGGAATTAAAGCATCCAAAACAAGGTCCGTCACACATCAGCCTCAGTGGCTCCTATCCTCCCATGTATATAATATCTTACACCGCACAAAATCCACTCTGAAAACAGACTCCCACTTTGTGCCGTATCTTATTTCCTACATCACATAGCTGACCCAGCAGCCAAAGCAATATCGAGGGTTCTCTTTCCCTGAGTCGGCCGATCACATTCCATTGTCAGTTAGCCCAACACACTCTCACTCCATAATCGTCCAGGAGTGACGTTTGGTCAGGGTCCTGTGGCGTGCAGTTGTGACGCTCCTAGGCTCCTTCAGCTTCATAAAAGGACGCAAATAGCTTTCAACTGATTGCAATGTATTCCCATCTGCTGCGGGATTTGACGCTCATGGAAGCACGGCATTCGTTTGTGTCGGCTGCCCTTAAAGGCAATGTGAGCGTCCATTCCCATTGGATAACGGAGAATTGTACACCCGGAAGTAAGTATTCCCCTTACTGTCGATTGATTTTACAGTGATATCTGCACTACTCATCGACTAAAAAACACCAGATTATCCTTGTTAATTACACAACATTGATTGGTTTAAATTGTGTGCAATGCTTTGTATTTTTCCCCTTCGATTCGGAGAAACAAACATTTTTTCGGAGTAAAGGATGGCAGAAGACACTACACTACCNGCGCTGCAGCATGTCTGAGCGAGAGAGAGATGCAGCGTGTCTGTTAGCCCCGCCCCCGCACGGAGATGAGAGAAAGATCTCTTTTACAATATATTGAAAGTTAGAAACGGAGATGGTTAGATAAAATGTGCAAGATAACGTTTATGTCAACACACTCTCACTCCATAATCGTCCAGGAGTGACGTTTGGTCAGGGTCCTGTGGCGTGCAGTTGTGACGCTCCTAGGCTCCTTCAGCTTCATAAAGGGACGCAAATAGCTTTCAACTGATTGCAATGTATTCCCATCTGCGGCGGGATTTGACGCTCATGGAAGCACGGCATTCGTTTGTGTCGGCTGCCCTTAAAGGCAATGTGAGCGTCCATTCCCATTGGATAACGGAGAATTGTACACCCGGAAGTAAGTATTCCCCTTACTGTCGATTGATTTTACAGTGATATCTGCACTACTCATCGACTAAAAAACACCAGATTATCCTTGTTAATTACACAACATTGATTGGTTTAAATTGTGTGCAATGCTTTTGTATTTTTCCCCTTCGATTCGGAGAAACAAATATTTTTTCGGAGTAAAGGATGGTATGGGTTCTACACTACCCAGAATCCCCAGCTATCGTTTAGGACTACACCATGTGCTCTGTTTGACAAACCCCGTGATTAGTTCTCAAGCTCTGTGATTGGATTTTGGAGTGGCAGTGCGCAAAGTTTACACGGAGCGTCAAACAGCACTTTCAAATGGAATGAAACCCATCAACGGCACACTATCCAAATCAAGACTCGAGCGTGTAAATCAGACTTTAGTTACACTTGAAAAAAATTCAGTGAAGGTGATTGTCAAGTGCCAACAATCAGGAGAGATATTTGGTAGTGGGTG